GTACCAGATTGCAGATGGGGACAGGGAGGGTTCCACAGAAAGAGTAACACTCAGAGAGGGCAGGGGTAATACCCGAGGACAATCCTGGAGTACTCCTATGAGCACACACTCATGCCTGTGTGCTGAAAAACAGAATTCCAGAACATTTTCAGGTCAGGACTGTGGCTAGATTTTACCACCTGGCTGCGAGGATGGCCGAGGTGTTCTTGGCTGCAGCTCTGCACTAGCACCACTTGCCACCATAGAGGAGGGCACATTTCCACCCTGGGACATCATGACAGCTGCTGCATTGCTCATTCTTATCAAACCTTGAAAGATAAAGATAAAACTTATCAAGTCTTGGATTTTTTGCATACAGAAGATTTACAGGCTGTTTTTAGAAGAAAAAATTATATTTGATAATAAAACATTTCTTGCTTGTCCAAAATAACCTGAGGACACATAATTTCTGTCTGAAAGCTTAGATTCCCTGGTATAAAACAAACAAGGTCACGATGAAGCTTTTCCTTTGGCAAAAAATCTTTAAAAAGGTTATAGAAGGAAACACTACAGACTCAAGAATTATATGAGTCTGACTTGCCACTAAAGTCAGCAAGTGACAAGACTATCAAAGTTATACACATATTAAGGGTTTTGTATAACCTGACAGTAGAAAGTAACTGAGGTGGTGTAAGACAGAAAATTTACCATGTTTCACTTCCCCAGGCTGCTAGTTTACAGAACGGTTTATACTGTTGACCTGTTGGTTGTATTATACTGTTTACAGCCATACTGTTGACCTGCAGGCAGGACCCGAAACTCATGATGGTCACAGTGAAGAGCAGCTGCTTTCAAAGTAAACCTTTCTTTAAATGTTTTACATTGCCTGTCAAGCACAATGATTTCACTGCTGTTTCAACAGCCTTCTACAGAGGCAAAATGTTCTGTTCATTCCTCCTCATCAACAGCCCCACAAAAAGTTTATGGGAAAATAAAGGGAGACTAACAATGACTGTCCTCTCCTTCCCATAATGATAATGGATTTAATCTAAAATAGTTTATTACTGCACACTGAATAAAGGCTTATATTTAATCTCACGACAGAAAACTGCAATAATTTGTGCACATTTTGAAGTATCCTTGCCTGTGGTAAAAGGGTTGGAACTAGATGATCTTATGGCCTCTTCCAACCCTAACCATTCTGATTCTATGAATTCACTTACTAGACTCTTCTGCTTTAACAGTCTTTATGCAAAAAAAATCCCAAACCAATTACTCCAGTGCTTATGGGACAAAATGCAGACATCTATTTAGCTTACATAAAGTAAGACATGGTTTGACAGTATAGAAAGAACTCACATTCATTAAAATGGCAATTAATTCTGGAAAACAACAGCTGCTATAATCAATGAAATTTTATGATTAGCTTGGTAACAAATTCCAAAGTGATAAAGCCAAACAAGCAAGAACCAAATGGATTTACCTTGTCCCCCTTGCATGGGAAACCCTGTTTCCATTCGCACTGAGTTGCTTGCTCCCAGGGGCCCGTTGATTCGGACATCCTGGCTTCTGTTCTGAGCTAAAGCTAAATTGATAGCACCTTCCCCTGAAAGTAATGGACAGTTTGGGTGAACTGAATGATACACAGAAAAGCAGAATACAGAGAACAGATTTTATCTGCACGGCACACTTTAGAAGGAGTTACGCATCGCATTACACTTATCTTCTGGATTTCAATTGTAAGAAAAAGGAAGACCATGAAAAGTATTAAATGCCCTTGGTTTCAGCCTGAGTGTGCTATTGGACAACTGTGCAAAATGGATATTTTAACTGTGAAATCCACCGAAAACTTGGTTTTGAGAAAGCTTTGTATGAAACAATTAGGAGAAAATAAAATGAATTGGGCACATTTTGCTAGCTAATACTTAAAGACCATTTTCAGGGCGTTTCCTGATGCTCAGAGCATGTTCAACTATCATTTTTATCGTTAATCCTGTTCTTGAAAGAATAAAAGCCTTGAGCTACCTTTCCACTGCATCCACTCTCCAAATGACTAAATTAGAAGTTTTACAAGATTAACCAAGGACATGGAACCACTTCATGAGTATACTGACATTTTAGCTTACTGCCTCTGCAAGCAGATGAGCTGTGAAATACCTTCAATTTGAACTGAGAGAATTCCCAGGTCGCGAAGCTGTTGGTTATTATTCTGAGCCAGAATTCGCAGCCGCTCGGCAGCTTCCCGGGGTATATTGAAGGTGACACGGACACTGTTCCAAGGCTCGATCTTCTGCAGTTTTAACTTGTTGGATTCTTGAAAGAAGAACGGTCAGAGTCAGGGCAAAGGCAGTTTTCAATGCATATGATGAAATAACTTGGGGAAAAAGCACAACTGAAAACATGGAAACAATTATTTGGCTTTGAAAATGATGAGTGGTTAGTCTCAGGTACAGGAGGCATCTCCAGTACAGGCAGATGTTGAGTGATGACCAGATCACTTCAGGTATCTTCCAATCAGCAAATCAGCAATATGAAAACTACCCAATTGATACCCAACAGCCAACACAAGCACTTGATAATATCACTCAAAAACTGAATTGTTCTGTGGATGAACTACTTTGGAAAGATAAGAAAATATCTAATGAAACTGATTTAGTTAATCTGTTAGTGATGTAGATGGATGTGGGACAGAACTGACTACAAGAATGAAATCCTCATTCTGGAAATACATGCTATGAAAAAGCTTGTGAAACCAGGATTTCATTAATTTCTACCACATTATTTAGTTTTTCTGAATAAATGTGTTTAATCCACTGAAAAAGAAACATATTAAAGTTGTGCAAAATACCAATTTGCAGGTTTTCTGAGCACCTATTCTACAAATTAGCATTTCAATGTAGAAGCAATTGTTTTAAAAGTTCCAGGTCAAATTAGTAAAAAGGCTGGGCACTCATGTTGGATGCACTTCTCTGAAGTGGCAGCCAACTAAATTATTGCTACAAAATGCATTTAAGGATAACTAAAAACATTCTAACACAGGTTTATAAACTTCCAGTTTCTAGCTTGATGAAAAGGAAATCCTTTAGAAAACAGTAAGCATTGACCCAAAGTTTAATCAGCCAGTTCTCCCACTGCAACATCACATTTACTAAGAGTTTGTTAACCTTTTCATTCAGAAGCATGTGTCATTTAAGAATGCCGATAACTCACTGCTGTTTTGGAATCTCTTGTCCTTAACTAATTCATCAAATCCCTTCTGCTGCTACAGAAATGATATTATTAAATTTAATCCTCTTTCAACCTATAACATATTTTCGGCTGGAAACATGACAAGAATAGTTGTAAAACCTCCAAACCATCACAACACTGCATCTTTCCTTATTAAGGGAGGCTGTCTATTAGGGAAGATGGTACTTCAGCAAGCAAGACCACACAACTGAGCAGCTCTAAGTAATCACTGTAAGACCCTTTGTAAAGATGCTCAGGTAGTGGACAGAGGTCTTTGTCCAGATCTAGATATGGTGGTGGAAGATGTTACTGTCCCAAAAGCCTGCTATCAGTCACTTGCTACAACACCCCAGAGCTCAGTGGGCACACAGGGGTATATGAGAGCACTCCATGTCCCCCATCAGAAAACAGAAGTCAGGTAGGTATGTCAGTGTAGCAGCAAAGGGACAGTAATGTCTTAAACTGACACAGTTATTTGAGAGTGGACCTATTCTCAGATGAAAAGCAGTGGTTTAAATTGCATGGGTTTGGTAGTAAAAAACATCTTGGGTGTGGACAAGCCTGGTTTCACTTGAATATAACATATCATGTGTAATGAAGGGAAATAAAACAGAAAAAATGCACAACAAATTCAGCATGGGAATGGAACAGGAATAAATGAACTCACTAATGAAATCAGTCTTAAACAACAAAACAGCTGTAGAAACTTGTACTCTGTGTCTCTGAGAAGAACAGCTCCCAAATGCACCACCAACAAATCTTATTACAAACTAAATAACTCGAAAATAATATAACCCATTTCTTTGTGCAAGCACCCTGACTGTGCAAATAAACATTTTGAGAACAGCTGAAGAACAAGAAGAAGGTACGTTACCCATGTGTAAAAGGCCAGGCACATTCTCCAGTATGATATCTAGTTTCTGCTCAAAGTCTCTGTCACCTATATTTCCTTTAAAAGCTACAAAGATCGTGGAATCCTCAGGAGCAGCCTCCTGTTTCAGTTCATCTTCCTCCAGTCCTGAATCAAAATCCACCTCTAAGTCTTCCATAGCTGAGGAGTACAAGGAAGCATATGTATCCTTTAAGTTAGGCAGACCATCCAAAACCATTGTTTCCAACAAAGGGAGCCTGTCAGACGTTCAGATGATGCTTGGTAGGAAAAAAAATGAATTACAGTAAGTGTAACAGTTAAGTGTCTAAAGACAGTAACAACTGCTTTCAATGGCTCACAAGATAAGTGATGGAAAAACCTACCGGGTGACCCAGTGCTAGGGTCTGCAAGACAAACTGTGTCACTTTGAAAATGGGGGCCATGGCAGTATCCGAGCTGTTTGTCCACCAGAACAAACAGAATTGGTTTCCTTACAGAATTCTGCTGCAGGTGACTTGAGAAGTATTCCAGTTGACCTAAGTGACAGTCAGGTAGAAAGAAAGGTAGAGGGGAAAAAAACAACACAACAAAAAAAATCAATTGCATTCATCTCCATATGGTCCAGAGGACAAGCAAGTACCTGGTATGCAGTGCCTGACTGCCAGGCAGCTCTAAGACTCACAACACTACTTTAATTATAGAAAGACAGGAAAAAATAACCAATTTAGTTTTAGGAACTGCAAATGCAATAGAACTCCTCTGTCCAGCAGAGCAGTAGGAATGCTGTAGCACATTTTTACCAGGAGAAATTCAGCATTTGACAAATACTTTACTCACATCCAGGGAAATCTCAGGCATACTATGGCTTCTTTCTAAAAGACTGTAAAGATGTCAGTGTTTTCAGCTACTTATGCACATTAGAACCTTCGGTGCTAGCCTATAACTCCCCTCATGGCCCTGTTGAGCTTGGACAAGAATGAATCCAGTAAATCAAGTCATACACACCTGATGGTTTTTTACTTTCTAAGATGTGTAGATTTTGCAATACATTTTACTTGGCATACTGATAGTAATCTAAGATGTTATGTGTGTAGAAGCACAACCCATGGTAAAAGCTATTCCTGCATCTACGGTGAGCAATGTTTAGTTAAGATACACATTTTCCCACTCCACCACAAGCCGTTACAAGGGCACTCACTCCTCCAGATGAGACCTCCATTCTCACACTCAGAGCTTCTTAAGTACTGCTAAAAGATTAAAACCATGTCAAAACCATAAAAGGGACCTGTTCCTGACCACCACTGTCAAAAACAAATCAATTCAACAGCCAGGACTGTCAGGACCTCGTAACTCCAAAGCTGTCAGTATTCAGCTCAACCCACCCAAAGCATTCAGTGTGGGACAATATCCCCTTGAACAGGATACAGCCTGGGGTTTTGGCAGGGGTTCAAGCTCCCAGCATAAATCAAAGCCATAACTCTGAGATTAAAGGTGAGCTGCAGATATGGGCCAGAAAACAGCCTTTCTTAATAAAAATACATAACTATGTTAGACAAGCTTAGATTCAACTCTACATTGTTGGCACACTTGCATCAAGTTGCTGAAGGGACAGTATTACAACTTGGAAGTCACAAAATACCCTCAGCTTTTGGTCAGGTCTCTATGCACACACTTACTGTGATTTTACATAACACATCTTTTTGTGCTCCCTTGCAACCCTACAATAGGCAGGCTAAATGGCACTAATGGATAATCACCTATTTTACATATAGTTACTCTCTTCATACTTCAGCATCAGGCCTTCATTCCCAAACACAACACAGATTAACTAAGCTAATTTTGTCTCACAAGCAACACAAAGTAAGTAAAAATGTTTCAGAGCCTCTGATGATTTCCATGGTGCTTTCATAAGTTACTCATTACCATGGAAATTTTAATGATGGGGAACAGAGATAAAAATTGAAAACATTCATTACGAGGTGAACATGGAGACAAATCTTTCTGACGCCAGACTCTTTGATGCTCTGGTCTGTTTCTACATTACAGGTCTGAGTATTTGGCACCTCCATTAAGGTCCATGTCAGGTGCCCAGGAATAGAAATGACAATTAATAAGCATTTTAATTGATTTTCACACTAATTTTTTGGACAGGGAATTTCCTTACCAAACCAAAACTGGCTTTACACCAGCCAGAAGATAATTCCTTCTCCTTCTGCATTCTTAACATCATTCATTACACATACACTGACTTCAGGGAGAAAGATGCTGGGAGTCCTACACAATCTTTTTAATGACACAGCTATTCTGCATCCTGTGAAACACAAGCACTGTATCTTGAAGAAAATTCAATAGAAAACTACTTATCTGAAAAATCTTGAGTAAGATTTGCAGGGAGAGAAATCTCAACTCCATGTATTTCAACACCTAAGAGCTCCAGGCTCTTAGGTGCTGAAAAAGCACAACTACTTGGAGGGGATGGGGTGTTCCACCTGCAGCAAGAAACATGAGGACTCCTGACAATCCCTGACACCAAAGAAATACAGATTTTTCTGTAAGAAGACAAACGTTTCAAATCTTTTTATGACCAGAAGTTTCTGAAAGATCCATCTTCTCTGTGAAAGAGCAGCAGTCACCCAGACTGCTTAAACTACAGTTTTAAAGACTCCATGAAAATGCTGCAGCTTAGACCACATTCCACCAACCTCACTTCAACATGCCAAAATCTGTCAGGATTTGTTGACATTATTGCCCTTCATGACCGCTATTAAAACAGAGCTTACTAAATCCCAAAGGACCACAGGCCTTGTTTCACTTGACTTAGAAAATCACAGAACTGCAGAAAAAACTTGAGTTAAGGGAAAAAAAAACCTCCACGATTGAGCTTTAAATTTTCCTTTCTGGACAAGAACATGTAAGTACAGCTACCTTTGCATTTTTTCTTCATATGATACTCAAGGATCTCTGTTACATCCATCTTCCCTCTCTCCCTGTCAAATACACGCAGTTTAGTCCATTCCTATATTCAGGTGTAATTTATCTCAAGTACGACAGGAGAAAATAATGATTTGTGAAAGCTTCCTCCTCAGGCAGAGCACAGCACGCCATCCATCTGAAACCAGATGAATCCCAGCTGCATCCCTCGCCCTAATTCTGTAATCTCCTGCTTCTAGGGTTGACTTCCATAAATCAGGAGGCAGCGCATGACCATAATCAGTGTGTACCTCTGCTCAACACCCTTCCACATAAACACAGAAAGCCTTTAGCAGAAGCATACACAGGTAAAACTCTGTTTGCTTAACAATTCCTGTGAACTAGGTGCACCCCCAGTGGGATGTAGAGTACCCCTGAAGAGTAAGAACCATACTCAAATTGATCTGCGTAACACAGCACATTTCATGAACTTGAGCACTCATGATCATGTGGCAGCACAAAAAGGTCTCTGAACATCATCCTCTATTCACAGAACACATGTGGCCTCATTCCTGCCTCTGCACCCTCTTGGAGTTTCCAACTTAGTATTTCCCATTACACAGCCACTTCTGGAAACCCAGGGCAAGTCCAGTGCTACCACGTGGCAACCACCTGCCCATGAATCTGGCCTGGGGCAGGCTACAGCAGCAGGAAAAGTTATGCCTGTTTATTATAAAGTTGGTCTTGTTCAGTATAGTCTAATATTAAAAATACATTATTGAAGACAGAGAGACGGTGATAAGAAGCCAGGCAACAGACTAACAACCAGAATGCACCTGCACTATCATATGGGGGCAGGGGGTGGCAGGGGACAGCTCATGGAGATGTCCAAACCGAAGGACATAGGGTCCATCCTGGGCTGTCGGACACTGGGGCTCCCAGACATGCTTGGCATATGGATAAAACCAACTAAATTAGTTGGGTTTAGGCCAACTAAAATGTGCACAATGAATTCTTACATGTCTTGCACCATTCAATGATTCTATGGATACTCTCCCAAGGAAGAATTCATGTAGGAAACAACAATGCCACAGTCCAGATCCGTGCTGATAAGACAGCTGGGTCCCAGCACATCCCACAGGGAACCCAGACACCATGTGTCATGCCATGTGTTGCCCCCACCAACAGCCCTGACAGGAAAAGGAAGCCTGCACGGCAAATCCAGTGCCACGTGATCAGCAATGCTTGGAAAATCCTGTCAAATCCCAGGGAGAGACAGGATTAGGGTGAATTCTGTAACATCCAGTTGTCACTAGCTGGGGAGCAGCTGAACATGGGAAAGCCAGCAGGCTCTGGAGTGCCAGCACCACCACATGGAAGTGCTGGTCTCTGGGGTTAAAAAAGACAAGGGGAAAAAACAAACAGGTATCTTGGTATCCCCATTCCAAGATCCACTCAACTGATCCAAACTTAAGGTTATGTCAATTGGTTTCTTAAACAGAACTTGATACCTTTTGTGTTGCTTTCTTCTAGCCATTGCACTACACAGACAGTAAAGCAAACCAAGGCTTGGTGTAACAGCTCATCCGAGGTTTTCTGTGACACAGCCTATTGATTTACAAGCTGTTTATACATTTCGAGCAACTCAGAACAAACACTTTCACAACTGATGTCACACTAGAACATGCACCCCCTCAAAACAAATATACAGGGAGCCCAGTTAGATAAAAAGTACTAAAATCCTGCTCTATGCATGAGAAAGTACTCTTCGAAACCACACAAAACACTGGAAAGGGGGAGAGAAGAAGGGAGGATGAGCTGATGTCCTTCACTAGCAGATGGCAGGAGTTAGCACTGAGCAAGGTCCTCATCCTCACACTGGCCAGCATTTAGAGCTGCAACAGGAAAGAGAAAGCAAAAACAGCCCAGAGATGAGACTGCAATCAAGTCCATTGGAGAATCCAGAACTCACAGTGAGGAGAAAAAGCCTTTGATAGCAGTGGCAACAATTTCCCAGGTGTATTATCCTAATACAACTGTTTCAACTGCTTTGTTGCCTAGCCTGGTGGTCCTAGTTACACCTGACCAAGGAATAAACCTATAAACACACAACCATTCTATGACACAGACTAAAATGACTAATTGTTTCGGGCAAAAATACACCCAAAAGACTTTTAAAGACATTCTCCATGCGTGTCACATTGTTACACAAGGAGATTAAATAAGGCTAAGAATCCCTGTTACAATACAAAAGAATACTCCATGCCCATGGTAAGGGGTTGAATTAGATGATCTTTAAGGTCCTTTCCAACCCAAACCAGCCTATGGTAACACCTATAAATAAACTTAAACATGCAATAAAATTTCCTCTGACAAAACTTAGTAATTGGAACTCCAAATATTGGCTCTAAAGAGGGATAACACCGTGAAACATAGTCTTAGCTGTGGCAAATGCCCATAATCCCCTACAGCAGACTGAGAAGTCTGCAGCCAGCTCTTCAAACACACACAAACATTACAGGCCTGGACCTATAAGCAGGACAGATGGGAGGAGATTATATACAGAACAAGAAATATGCAGGTACATCATGTGCTTATCTTACTTACCAAAAAAAATCCACAACTTCAGTACTTTGTGGCATGCAACAGGTCTTCAGGTAATTCCAGACTGGCAAACATGGTTGAACAGCAACTCCCAGAAATGTAATCCTGAAAGAAAACCATCACTTTTCATCAGAAAATGACATAACAAAAATACTGCATATCATTAAATGCTTTGATTTTTAAGATGCAGTTTTGCACCAAATCCAACTCTCTCCTTAGTACATGTTATTATATTCAAATATTAACAGCAAAAAATTGAGGATCTGGAAAAAATAACCTTTCATGACAGGCAAAAGATGAAATACTCCCTTTGGCTAGAAATGACATTTTAATCTCCTAAACAGGCCAAGTTTTATCTACACTAATATATTTAAGTCAAGATAAACTCTTCTAGACTGAATTCATCTTCAGAAAAGAGAAGCTGGCACAACTAGGATGCACTTCAGCTCATCCTAAGTGGGCGCCTAAAGCAGCTCAGGTTAAGCTCCCTCCAGAAACACGTTATGAGCATGCACAACCATCTCAGATGGACATTTTTATTGTAGGTGGCCAACAAAGGGAGCTGAATCCAGCCCCAGAACCTGCTCCTGTTCACAGTCTCATCAAGTTGCACTCAAACCACTCAGGGTAATGAAAACGCAGCAGTAAAGCTAATGGCTGCAGTGAAAACAAAACACCGCCCCTCAAATCAACATGAGTTCTAGTAACATCTCTGGTTTTCAAGGAAATTTACTGCAGTGGTGCCAGCCTGCTCCTTAGTGGGGAAGGGAATTACCCAAAATCAAACTGGGGAAGCAGAACAGGGAAAAAGACTCAAAGATGAAGCAGAAATTTGCTATCTTCTATCTAGGCAACAAAATAAAATCACTTTAAAAGCCTTAGCACTGTGCCACAGCCTCTGCACTTCCACCAGCCCAGCAACTTGAAGGGAAGGAAGGAACACTCACAGCAAATCAGGTCATATAAGCTTTGCAGCTCTTTTAATAGTCATCTAAGGCTTTTCAATCTCTGGTATCTTCTTTTATTTCTAAATAGACATTGTAATTCAAAAAGCAGTATAAAGCATAGTACCAAGTGGAAGACCCAGGTAGCTAAAATCATAAGCAGTAGTTTTGCTGTTTGCAGCAGCAGATAAACCTGCCTAAACACCACGACCTGACACACAGCGGGCAAGCAAAACCAAAACCCAGAATCTGAAATGTTAATACCATTTACAAAACGATTTTATGTGGAAAATCACATTCCATAGCAGATACTGCATTACTTCTGTTCTTTCACCCTTTTTATAAAATGATGTTCCACAGACTACTTTAGACAGCCTAAAACTGAGTCATGTAACAACTGGCTGGTTGCCTCCAAAGCTGTGTTAAGAGCTCATGCCAAAGGACAGTCCTTACTTGCCCAGTAAAAGCTGCTTAAAAGAAGGTCTCAAAGCTGATAGAATTCAGCCCCGTTCAAATCATCTGTGCCCTGGCAAGGCTGGGCTAAGAGTCAAGTCTGGTTGAAGGGTGATTAACTGGAGGCAAAAATCATCTGAACTCTTTGGTGCAAGGAACTGAGGGGGGGTTGTTCCTCCAATTCTCCATTCCCAGAGAGAAGTGGAGGTGAGTACCCTCACCACAGTGATGCTCTGTGGACATCCACTGGCTCCAGGTAAGAGGCAGGCAGCCCAAAGCAAGCTCCAGTAAGAAACAGGATGGTCAGCCCAGGCTATGGGAAAGAACAAGCTGCTGCTTGTCTCCACCCATGTGACAATACCAAACCTGGTTAAGGAAAATAACTAATCAACGTCAGTACATTAACTGCAACTCTCATTACAATAAGCTATCTGATAGAGATCTTCAAAATGCCCTCAAGCACAAAACACCTAAAGCCAAGTGTATCCAACAAGAAGAAAATTACAGCTTGTAATGCGTATGACCTTTTGCAGTGGTATCTTGATGTATTTTGACAGCAGGTTTAGTAGAACACTGGTTTGCTGAAACCCCACAACTTCTGCCAAGCTGCAATGGACACGTCTCCACTGAGCCATTAATTCTTATTTCAACAGAATTTGGCTGACAAGATCATCAGGGTTACTTTAAAAAGCAAGATGGTAACTCCAGAATGAGCTTCAACTGCAGCCGAGCTAGCAATGGAGAAACCCCACTTGCAGCAGCCCAGGTATCAACACAGGAAGGCCAGCAGTCTTCTCCCCATGTCACAGGTTACCCTGAAATCAGCAATTTCTGGAAGCTGTAGCCTCCAGGGTGTAAAATTTGATCAATCATCAGCTGAACTGTTAATTTCACGTGTTAAGGATATTTCCATTTGGAAGAAATACACCACAGCTGCTAAGAGACGAATACTACATAGAGCTTCACAGTATGGAATCTTTCACAAAGACCCCTCAATGCAATTAGCAAACAAGTAAAATGAGATGCTGTTTGAAATCAGATGCATCTTGCCAGGAAACTCTATTTTCTCTCGCCTTCCAAAGGCTGAGAAAACTCCTTTTTGAGAAGCAACCAATTCATTGTTTATGTTGCAACAAGCTTTTTATCTGAAGCTGAATTTAACCACCACCAACCCTGCTGGGCTGACATGCCCCATAGGCACTCCATCACCACCAAATTCTCCCCCTGAGCTTCAGAAATGCTCCTACAACCAGCCCAGGTGTTCTTGTGAGTACTAGCTCTGAACTGTGGTTTGCCTGAGAAATTGCACCTCTTGTTTTCTGCACTATTATTCCTCTTACTGGTAATAAAAGTCTAGGAAATTTCAATGCCATTTTAAAAATCCTTAAATGCTATAAAATACGAAGAAAAGATTTAAGCTAAAACAAACAGCTTAAAAGTAATTCCTTTGATGTAAGACACTCGATAATGAGACTTTTTCCCCTGACCACAACATCTTCACCTAACACAAGCAGGTACAGCTTTTGCTAAAAATCGGGACTGCTCTGAGAGTTTGCTGATTCCATAAAAACTTGCAGCTTATTCTGTGCTGCTCTGGGTTTTTGGAAGAATCACATTTCAAAAGTGTTACTGATTTCCCCCGCTACTCTTAACCACGGATCAACTTTGCACCTTCTGGTAAAACTAGGATGAAACAGAACTAGGTAGCAATGCGTGCTTACAAGGGTGGAAAGAGCACCGTAAAAACCCCAGGAAGGAACACTTTCCAGTGCTGCAGCCAGAAGATGAGGTGCCATTTCTTGTCCAGTACTATTCTTAACTGAGCCTCACTAGAATACCTGGCCATGGTTTTGCCTTAACTACTTGCTCCTCAACTTCTCTGGGAAGGAGACCTGCCACAATTGCCAATGCAAGCCTTGGATCTCACCTCTCACATGCTCTCCACTCACTGATGCGAAAAAAGATGTCACCACAGACACTAAACCTTTGAATTTATCAGGAAGCAAGGCAGGAATAACTCCTCACGTTCTCCTTGTGTCATCCAGCAAGGAGGAAGGCTTGTGAGCATGCGCCTACACACATGTATGAGCAAACAGAGGCTTAATCCAATCTTTGTAAGTGCTATCCAGAAACCATGATGGGAAACCCAATCTCACACCAGCTGTGCAGCCCTTTGGGCCAGCTTGAGTTTTAAGAGAACAAAAATTATAACATTAAAATGATACATATAGGACTTGGAAAATTTAATCACGTGCATCTTTTGGTGGGAATAACTAAATCAATCCCCTTTCCTCCATCAAACCTGATGCTCAGGCTCCCACATAAGCAACTCAGTATAAGCAATTTTTTGTCCCAAATTAGTAGACGACATGTTGACAAATTACTTTAGACAAGGCACCATTCATTATTCCAACTTTTCAAGTTTTGTACAGATCTGATCCCAATCCCTGTGTAGGGCTATGCTTCAAGAACACTCATTCTAGCTGAAGAAGCAGCAACTGTCCTCTTGGTTCCCACTGTGGTGTCCCCTGCACGCATCCTCCCATCATCCCAGACCAGACCCACCGTGACACGCGCTGGTTGCCTTTCTTTTTTCCCCAAGTACATAAGGAAGGGTTCTTCACCGTAACACAACCGCAAAGTTACAAAATATATGTGACAGACCTCACTTCTTCCTTCTATTTTTAACTAGGACAATAGCCATTTTGATCAGTTATTCAGAGCGCAGGCAGCATGCTGTTGACAGCACCAATGACAGAGTACACGCTGGGTGACAAATGACCCCCCAATACCCAAAGGACTGAGAGAAATCCCAGGCTCCAGGGCCTCTGGAAAACCTTCACTATTACCCTCCTGTGTAATCCAATACTCAGATGCACTTTCAACTGCAACAGCATCACTGGAAAGACTTTTTCCTTCGTTCTGATTAGCCAGGACACTAGACACAGGACAAGAAACTAGGTAAGTTTCAAACACCGGGTTAGGTCAATCCTTCAGCAATCAGTATATATGAACTAAGGAACACACTGACTACACGGCCAAAATGCACAGGTCCTGCCCAAGAACATCAGTAATCTGCTCTGGAGGGGACATCATAGCTCACGGCAGTGTCAAGACAAAAAATATAGTATCCACAGTTTCAGCAAAGTAAAGGCAAATTGGTCACCTGGCTGACACGTGGAAAACATCTCACCTGGAGTCTGAGGATGCATCTTCCCTGCCTCAAGTCCATGTCATGTAAGATTATTTCTCCTTCCACTTTTGTCACTTAACTTCTCTCAACACAGCACATGCTCTCCCATTACTTCTGCTCTGGCCCAGCATTAGGGAAGAAGTTTATGCTTGAACGCAGTGTTTGCAATACATGTGGTTAAGTCCTGCTGGTCAATGGTCTGCACACCACCAGGTGTTCTCCTCACTGCACCTTCCTTACACCACAGCGCTGGTATTTCTCACAGAGACCCCATGAACCAGCAGGTTAAGGGAAGGGATTCTTCTCCTTTACTCTGCTCTTGTGACACTCCACCTGGCATGCTGCATTCAGCTCTAGGACTCCCAGTACAAGAAAGACATGGACCTACTCAAGCAAATCTAGAGGCCAGGTTGATGCTCTGGAGCCAGACTGAGAGCTGGGCTAGTTCAGCCTGGAGAAGAGAAGGCTTCTTAAGGGGAGACCTTAGAGCAGCTCTGGTGCCTAAAGGGGCTGCAGGAAACCTGGAGAGGGGCTTGGGACATGGGCCTATAGGGACAGGACAAGGGGGAATAGCTTTAATCTGCCAGAGGGGAGATTGAGATGAGCTCTTAGGCAGAAGCTCTTCCCTGTGAGGGTGCTGAGGTGCTGGCACAGGGTGCCCAGAGAAGCTGTGGCTGCCCCATCCCTGCCTGTGTTCAAGGCCAGGTTGGACACAGGGGCTTGGAGCAAGCTGCTCTAGTGGAAGGTGTCCCTGCCCATGGCAAGGGGCTGGAACTGGATGAGCTTTAAGGTCCCTTTCAACCCAGTCTGTGATTCTATGATTCTGAACCAGACACCCCTTATGCCTCATGCCCACCAGAGGTACGCAAGCAACCTATAAAATCTGACTGTCAGCAATGCATACTGACATAGCCACAAAAACTCTTCAACATCTTTAGCAGCAAACCCCCTGCCACTGCAAACCAATTTAGTATGTCTGTGTAACTTGGCTGTAACTACAGCTTCCATCAATATGGTATCAAAAAATATGAAATCATTGCCATTGACAAGTGAAAACAACGACAATTCAGTAATGCCCAGGGGAAGGCTGTATTTCTCAAGTTTCCCCACACTGAGTTGGTTTTCACTTCAAGGAAATACCTATTTTTTTACTAGAATAATGCACAATTACTGCATCAGTTGGAAGGCTGTTGTAAACCATGCCTCCCTCTAAGCCCTGTGGAAGAACAGGCCCAATAGAAGAACAGGATTTCTGGAGACAGTGGTTGGAGAGCGCTGCTGGGAGCTATCCCAGCCAAAATCTGAGACCTAATGGAATACCTTTCCATAGGTCCAAAATACAGAATCAGAGAATAGAAAGGACATTAAAGCTCATCCAGTTCCAACCCCTTGCCATGGGCAGGGACACCTTCCAGTAGAGCAGCTTGCTCCAAGCCCCTGTGTCCAACCTGGCCTTGGTCACTGCCAGGGATGGGGCAGCCACAGCTTCTCTGGACACCCTGTGCCAGCGCCTCAGCACCCTCACAGGGAAGAGCTTCTGCCTAAGAGCTCATCTAAATCTCCCCTCTGTCAGCTTGAAGCCATTCCCCCTTGTCCTGTCCCTACAGGCCTTTGCCAAAATCCCTCTCCAGATTTCTTGCAGATAGCTTCCTTAATCCTGAGGCTTGTCAACCCAGCCACTCTGGACATGTGCCTTGAGACCTTTGTTTCTCTCCCCACCAGACACACAGAAAAGCCAGGAACACTTCCTGCAACTGGAAAAGAGCTGCTAAAGCCAAAAACTCGTGGTTATTGTGCTTGGCGACCTTTTCTGAAAACGCAAAGTGTGTTCTCTTGAGCTTGTTTTCTCATACGGAAACACTGGAAGATGCATTAGCTAACGAACCAGCCAGAAAGCCTACGACACACATTAACTACAAACACCAGTGAGAGGCACTGGCTGCCCTCTAATAAAATTCAAATGAGACAGGATTTGGTGCAGGTCTCAGCTCGGGGCACGGGCACAGGCGTGCGTGTGAGGAAGCTGATGGGTTATGAACAAAGCTCACCACAACCCTACAGCTCGCAGCTTTCAGAACCACACCGAGGTAGCGACAGAAGAGCTCCCGGCTTCCCACTCCCTGAAGGAATCGGAACCTCGAAGGGCTCTACACGTAGGTGCAGAAATGAAGCCGAAGGAACGACGTGAGCAGCCTTCCTCCGGCTGCTTCAGAGCCACCGAGGCACTCAAACAAAAGCCTGGCTTCAGGGAAACGTCAACGCGTTGTCGCTGACATCGTACAAAGACGTCAAACGCCCGCGTGAGGTCAGGGCTGAGAAACTACAATCAGAAACACCGTCCTAAGCCCAAAGACGCTCCCGCTGCTGACAGGGCCCCGGTGGCTGCCCGCGGCCGGCCCGGCAGCGCTGCCCTCCCCGGGAACCGAGCGCTGCCCTCAGCACGGCGGCCCAGCGCCCCTCTCCTCGACCGCGGGCCTGTCTCCGGCTCTAACAGGTCACGGCGCGATCCAAACGCCGGGGGAACCGGGACCGGTCCCGCAGCCCTCGGCGGGGCAGCTCCGTCCAGCAGGCGGGGGCAGGCTGCAGGCCGCGGCCGGGCGGGCTCACCGGGCACTGGGGCCCAGGCCGCGGCTCCCGCTGCCCGCTGACATGCTCCCCGCGGGCCCCGGCAGCCTCCAGCTCCCCGCGGCCTGGCATCCCGGCCCGAGCCCGCTCCGCTCCTCGGCCAGGCCCGGCTGCCCCTTCCCGCCGCGCCGCCCGGCCTGCTCCGTGCCCGGGCCGCCGCCAGCCCTGGCTCCTCCGGGGCGCCGCTTCCGCCCCTCCGTTTCTGTCACGCCCGCCGCGGCCGCCGGGTCCCCGCGCCCCCTGGGCCGGCGGAAAGGCCCCGCCGAGAGCCCGCCCCGCCCTCACCTGGCGCTGCCGCCGCCGCCGCTGCTGTTGCTGCTGCCGCCGCCTCCGCCACGGCCGCCGCGAGGAGCGCGGGGCCGCCTCGGCAAGCGGGGCCCGCGGGGTCGGTGTCGCGGGCGGGCAGGCGCGGGGCGGGAGGGGAGCGGAGGGGAGGGGGAGGGGGGACGGGGGTGTCGCGCTCGGCCCGGGGACACCGGGACACCCAGCGCCGCTCCGCCGCCGCCTCCCTCCGCCGCCGCGGCACGTGACCCGCGCCGCCCGCGCGCGCCTGCGTCCGAGCGCGCGGAGCCGGGGAGCCGTGAGGGGCGGGGGGAGTGTTGGTGTGAGCCCTTCCCCGGGCACCGGCTCCCGGTACCGGGACCGCGCAGCCCCTCGGCGGGGAGCGCCCCTTGGGCCCGCCCCGGGAGCGGCCCCGCTGGAACCTCCTTCCCGCACGGGTGGGAGCGCGGTCGGGCCGGTCCTCCCGCCTGAGGAGAGCCCCAGGGGCTGCGGGGCGAGCGGGCGCTTCCGTAGCGAATAAAGAGCGTTTCCTGGATGGAGTTCCACACAAAACAGTAATTAAAGTGTTTGTAGGAGGTTGCTGGGGAAAGAGGTTCGTAAATCAGAGGAGTTTTACCAGAGGAACTCTGGAAGGAGGGCTCGGGCTTCGTAACGATCGATGAATTAGACTGCACTTCGTGCTGCGCTGGGAAGGTGGGAGAGAACCCGGAGAGGGACCGGCTTTAATGAAAAGCCTCTTTACCTGGTTACCACACAGGCCCAGCGGGCAGTGCTTGCTGCCTAGAGACCCCTTGGCACACGGGGGGGGGTCCCCCAGAACAGCTCACAGAGCCCTCGGCTCACCTCAAGCCTTTATTAATACAAGAAGCAATAAATGAGCATACGAAGGTGGTGCCACTGCACAAATGTCTGTTTTCCTCCCTGCTTTCGGCAGAACCCTGTTACCTGGCAGTGGTTAAGGACAATACACACATGGCAATGCCTGTTTCAGGCTCACAAGAGAACCAGGAGTCCTTTGTGGGGAAAATAAAGGCTTTGGTCCTGCAGAAATCCCTTATGGGTCAGTTCTGGTGGCTCCAGCCCTCCCAGCCAGACTGAGTGCTCATCGCAGATCACTGTGGGATGGACAATGCAGAAAGAGGAAAATGGGGTTTTATTCCATGAAACCTTGTCAATACGATGATCCCACAGCTCATTTGTCACTACAGCTCACCACACACACAAAATCTCCTTTTGTAAACTGCCGTAGCAATGCATTCCATAAAAGGACCCAAAACAATGAACGTCATGGTTAGTATATGACTTATCTTGATAATTAAATGCTGTTGGTGTGTGGGAAGCTGTGAGCAGATTGCGTGTTTCCTCTGCATTTGCAGCTCTAAAGCTCCCTGCTGACAGATGAGCACTGAGCTTCTCTTCACCAAAGGATCATTCCCTTGGTGCCTTTTCCTGCTCTTCCCCAGTTTCTGGGGCAGGGACCCCACTGCCAACACCTCCCTATTGCATTATGGATGGGAGAAAAGCACTTCCCCGGATCCCAGGAGACCCGCAGAGGAGTCAGAGAAGGTGATGGGGTGTCAGTCGAAGGGGTGGTAATGAGGAACATTCCCCATATCCGACTGTCTGTCGGGGAGTTTCTGTCTGTATCGGTGTGGATATTCCCCACTCGGCCCTAAGCTGCTCCCATCAGAGACAGGCGGGAAACAAAGGAAGCCGAGAGAATAGCTCTTCAGTACCTGGGAATTACCTTTCTCCCCTCCTTCCTTTCATGCTTTCCTCTATTTCAGGAGACATTTCTGTACCTAGCTGCATTCAGCTTCCTCCTCCTCCTGCTTTCCCCAAAAGCCTCCTGTGTTTCCCGCTCTGGCACAGTTAGAGCCGAGTGTGGCTTCCAGAAAATCCCCGTGTTTCCCATCACTGCTGCTGTGTGTGTTTTGCAAGGTCATCCTTAGGGGTTTCCCTGCAGAGTCCGGGTCCATCCTGTGTAGCTTAAACATTTCTAGGTCTTGAGGGCCTTTGTACACCATGAACAAGATGAGATTTGGGGGGGATTGATCTATCCCTTCATTCTGTGTCTGTGGAGCCCTCCATGAGCAGACCCTGACTTGGTTTGGATTCTGAAGCTTTGCTGCAAAACAAATGACACCCTAATTCAGTGTCACCCAAAGAGAAGGAGGGCTGTGTGCAACACACAGAGAACTGTTTAAGTTGCTTCATCGTTCACAAACAGAACAGAGAAAGACTGGACAACCAAAACTGTGGTTACATTTATGTGCATTTTCATATGACAGCATGTTCAAAAGGAAGGTGTTGTACAGAAAAAGCTGGTAGATTCATGACCAGCTTCAGGGTTTCCCAAACTCAAATATTATACAATGACTCAAAGAAGTAAGTTCTCCTCTGATACTGTGACAACACTCATGCACAGCGAAGGCAAGGGGACCTGTTGCATTACAGTCACGATCCCTTCTGATCCGGGATTTTGTTGAACT